TTTTGAGTAATTTAGTTATTAAGCTAGTTTTGTTCACTTGACTATGATTAGCAGAGTAAACCAATAAAAAAATTTTTGACTAAAAAGTGAATTTTTACTTTTTCTAATGACTGCCTTTTATATTGTTTGCTAATGTAATATATTTTGCTAATATATTATTATTTATTAATATGATAAATGTATAATAAATAAAATTAAAAGAGTCAGATAAAATATTAGTTATGTAATTTTAAAGACTAGCAATATTTCACTATAGTAATAAATTACAAAATCCTAATTATAATTATATTATTAAATTTATTAAATAATAATTAAAATTGTAATATATTAATAATCACTTAAAATATATTTCTTATTTAAGAAATATCTTTATTATTTCAAATAATTAATATTTAATATATAATATATACAGTATATAAAGTTTAATAAAAAATATATATTTTTAATATTTAATTAAATATTAAAATTTTATATAATTTAATTATATAATTAATTAATTTTATAAATAATTTAAATAATACTTTTTAATAATATTAAAATATATAATTTTATAAATAAAAATTATGCTATTAATAAAGATTTTATTATTTTATAAAAATTAATAAATTGTATATTTTATAATAAAATATTTTTTATTTTTTATTTATTAAATTTATATTTTATTTAAAAAAGTTAATTAATATGATATATATTTAAAAAATTTGTTTAAATAATATATAATTTTAAATTAAATAATATATAAATTAATATTAATGAGTTAATATAAAATTATATAATTTAAATTAATTTAAAATAAATTATAAAAAAATTTAGATTACTATTTATTATATATTATAGTATATTACTATATTTTATTTTTATTAAATAATCTGAAAACTTAAAATTTTTTAATATTAAAATATTATTTATATTTTATATAATATTTAAATTTTTCATATATAAATATTAATATTTTAATATATTTGTAATTTATTACGTATTAATATAAAAATTATTAATTTCTATAATAAATATTTTAAAAATTAACAATATTAAGATATAATTTTTTAAAAAATTATATATAATTAATAAATATTATATTTTTTAAATAATAAAATTAAAATAAATAATAAATTATTATTAAAAAAATAAATTTTTAAATATTAAATTTAAAATTTAGATTTTTATCTAAAGTGTAATGAAAAAATATTATATATACTTAATACTATATAATATTTGTCTATTATTATGTGAAAATACCTAATTAAATTTTAGGATTAGGTATAAAAATCAATATTGTATAATTAGATAATAATAATAAATAGTAGTATTACTTTATAAAATTATATAAAAATTAATATTATGTTAAATTATTTTTTATTTTTTTTGTAATATCAAATAATATAAATACTTTAAATATACAATAGTTCTTGTTCTCTAGTTTATTTAATATTATTTATTATTTTATATAATAAAAAAATAATTATATAATTACTAAACTTTAGATTAATTGTATAAAAATTAAATTTGTATTATTATTTCAATTAATTTGAATATAAACTAATTTTTTATATTTTAAAAAAAATATTTGTATAATTATTAATTATTAGAGTTTTATATTAAAAATAACTCTTATTACTATTTAAAATAGGTAATAAATAAATATTATAATATTATAATTGATTATATAAGCTCTTTGGAATAGAAAAAGAGGAAACTACCAAAAAAATTTTTTTTTGAGTTAATGTTAAATCTAGACTTATTTTATTAAAAAAATAATATTTAATTTATAAAGCAAAAAAAATTTTTTTTGATAGTCTTCCTTTCTATTACAAAAAGTTTATATTATTATTAAATCAAGTTAAAATTAGTTGTAATAAATGATCACTATTTTTAATCTTTATAAATAATTAAATTTTGCTTCTATAATTATTTAAGATTAAAAAATAATCTGTATTTAAAAAATATAAAAAGTAAAAAAAAGTTTTTTTTTATTATAAAATAATAATAATAATTAGTTTTATATAATAAAAAATAATTATATAACTGCTAACTATATAAAAAAATTAAATTATATTATTATTTTATTTAATCAAAAAATAAAAATATTTATATAATTGCTAATATCTTTAAAATATTTATATAAATAATCTATAATAATTTAAAGTTAAAAAAATAACTTGCATTTAAAGTAATATAATATAAAATATAAACTATTTAAAAATACTTTCTTTTATTACAAAGTAATAGATTAACAAATAGTTAATTTATAAAATAAATTTATATATATAATAAAATAATATTGCAACTATTTGTAACTTTATTTTACAATTAGTTGTAATTTAATTTTATTAATATCACAACTAATTATAACTTTATAATACTTATTTATCGTTAATTATAATTAGTTATAGCATTATCTTTAATATTAATATTCATAATTATTAATTAATCTAAAATTTAATTAATAATCTTATATAATTTTATCATATATATTATTTTATTATTTTATAAAGTTAAATTTTTAAAATTTAATTTTATTTAATTTTATTTAATTTTTTAAATTCTTCTTTAATATTATACTTTTTAATAGTATATTTTATTATATAATATAACAATCTTTTTAATTAATAAAAATAGCATTACAATTAATTACAATTAGTAATAAATAAGTATCACTAAATTGTAACTAGTTATGACATTAATAAAATTGAATTATAATTAGTTATAAATAATATAAATAAGCATTATAAGATTGCAATTTGTTATAATATTATCTTTATTAATTATATTAAAAATATTAAAAATGGTGTTTAAATACAATTTTTATAAATTTACTTCAAAAATAATTTATATAATATATTATTTATTTAGAAATTTTTTAATATTTAAATTTCTTAATTTTTTTTTTATATATAAAAATCAGATTTTAAAAATGCTATTATTTAATAAATATATAAAAATACTTAAATTATTTAAATTTTTTTTTTATAATTTTATACTTTAATATTATTTTTAAGTAAGTGAATTTCTTTTTTAATATAATTTTTTGATTTTTTAAATTAATACTAACATTAAAAGATTTTTATTAAAATATGTAATTAAAATAATATTAATTATTATTATTTATTTAAATTAAAATAAATATTATATATAATATATTATAATTATTAAATTTTAAATTTATTTTAAAACGTTTTTAAAATATTATAATATTATCTTAATTTTTGTTAGATTTTAAAAAATTTAATATTTTTTAAATATATCTAAATGTTTTATATATTAGTTAATCAAAAATAATAAATAATAAGTTATTTAAAATAGTATTTATAATTAATTTAAAAATTCTTCAATTATTTTACAATCTTTTATATTAAACTAATTATAAACTTATACTTTTAATTTAAATTTTTACAAATAAATTATACTATAAGTTATAATCTTAAAAATTATAATCTATTAATAATTATTTTTAAAAGTATATAATTATATGCACATAAAACTGATTAAATTTAGAACTTATATTAAGGATTAGTTTATAATAGATAGGTACACATCATCTGCAAGAGGTAATTACTGATAATAGGTTATAATAGATCAAGATAAATGTTATATAATTTAGATTAAACAAGAGTCATGAGTTACAGATAATTTTTAGTTAAAACGCTATAATATCTATAGTATATAAGTAATAGTATTAATAATGATTATTTTTTAATTAAATAAATGAGAATACTATTTATTAATATTTATATTTATAATTTTATTATTATATTATAATATATAAATATAAAATAAACCATTTATAAAAACTAAAATTAAGATTAAAAATAAGGTTTTTTTTTAATTAAAGTAAATAAATTATAAAGATAATAAATTTTCTAATGATAAAAAAATAAAACATAAAGATCATAAATATATTTTTATTATTTTATAATATTTTATAATATTTGTTATTTATTATTTTATTTTTATCAAGTATATAGAATCAATTAATAAATTTTATAATATAAATTATGAAATAATACAGTTATATTTCAACTAGAATTGGAAACATCTAATTGGCCACACCTAATTGGCCCTAAATAATTTTAAAAAAATAATTTTTTTTAAATACCATTTTTTAATTAAAATTACTTGAAATTTCCTTTAAAATTTAAAATTTTTTTTTTAAAAAAAAAAATTATTAGATTTTAGACTTAAATCCTAAAATCTAATTTTGAATTAAATGAATTTTTAATTTTTAAATGGTTTTTATTTTAAAGTAATAAATAAATTTATTTATTTTAATTATTAAAAGATAAAATTATTATAATTAATAATATATAAATAAAAAATATTTTTAAATTTTAAGACAAATTAAGACCTATTAGGATTTTACCAACCCTAATTCCTACTAATATAGCAGAAAGTCACTATTAAAAATTTACACATTTTTCAAACCTGATAATTTGATCAAATTATTATTTGGATACTAGTTTCTAAATTCAGTCTATATTAATTACAAAATTGTAAAGTTTGATACTCAACTAATTTGATTTGTAATGTGGTCTGATTTGGGAAGTGAACATGGAATTGTCTCAAGCAAAAATGGTTGAATTTGCAAAAAAAAAATTCACAAAATGGACACTTTAATTTTGTTTGTATTTGAATCGTTGCGATCATTTTTAGGTTTAGGTAAAAAAATCCGAATTTTTGAAAAAATAAAGCATTTGATTATGCTTAATTTCGGTCTAAGGTTTCATCAAGTTTGTTATCATAATATAGTTACGGAAACAAACATCGTCATAATATATATGAGGTTCTAAATACAATATTTTATTATTCAAATAAATAGAAAGTTATTTTGAAAATTTTATCCGGATAATACTTCAAACAGAAATATTTTTCGCGTATTTCAATAAATGTTCTTGATTTTTTCTAATGTCTTCTCCTTTTCTAGAAATGATAATTACCATGACAAATGCGAGAAACCAAGCCGTTCCATTTAACGTGCTAATTATTTTATATTTTACAATTTCTTAGTTTGGTATAAATTCTTGACCATGAAGACCACCATGTCTTGATCCATCATCTCTGCCATTTGATGGACCTCGACCATAATAGGTATTATTATAAGTAGTTTGACGACTATTATTATGTTGACTATTATCATGTCGACTATTATCATGTCGACTATAATCATGTCGACTATTATCATGTCGACTATTATTATGTCGACTATTATCAATATGAATTTGACTATTGTCAATATAAGGTCGACTATTATCAACATGAGTTTGACTATAATCAATATTAACTCGTCTATTGTCGATATAAGGGTTGCTATTATCAATATAAGGTCGACTATTGTCAATATAAGGTCGACTATTATCGATATAGGGTCTACTATTATCAATATAAGGTCGACTATTATCGATATAGGGTCTACTATTATCAATATAAGGTCGACTATTATCAATATAGGGTCGACTACTATTATCAATATTAATTCGATTATCAAAATTATTAGTATTAGTTTGATTATTAATTCGACTATTATCAAGTTTATTATTAATAATAATCTGATTTCGCCGTCTTCTATTAAAGCAATAACATGAACAAATAATAATGAAGAAGAAGACAAAGATTCCAGATATTACTCCAATAAGATTATTTTTATTTCCAGAAACAGGATTTGAAATGCTATTAGATGCGCTAGCATTTGGAGCACCTGACGGAGATTTTCCAACAGAAACCCTAGCTGGTTCATTAACTTGCACTTTTGCTGATGCTGGTACATTAGATGGTACATTCACTGGTTGCTTAGCTGGATCTGATGGAATTGGTGGTGGTGATACCAGCGGTGGCCTTGGTGGTGGCTGTGGTGATTCTGGTTGTGATTCTGGCGGCGATCCTGGTGATTGTGGTTGTGATTGTGGTTGTGGTTGTGGTTGTGGTTCGGATTTCTCTTGCGACGAGTTTGGCTGTTGTGCTTCGGTTGGTGATGGTGTTGGATTTTTTATTTCGGATGGTAATGTTTCTACTGTTTGAGTTGGTGGTGGTTCGGTTGGTAATTGCTGTGCTGTTGTTGGTGGTGGCGGAGGAGGAGATGGTTGTTGTTCTTGTTTTACAGTTGATTCGGGTGGAGGTGGCGGAGGTTCTTGTTTTGTTGGTTCTGGTGGTGGTGGTGGTGGTGGTGCTTTTCCCGCTTCTTGATTTAAAGCTATAACTTGATCATTCTTAATTTGAATATCTCTTGGATAATTTTTGTAAGTTGTCGATTTTATTGAATGATCAATTATTATTCGAGCATATAATGATTCGAATTGAATTGAGATAAGTAAAAAGGCTAAAATCAGAATAAAGTTTTTCATGATAATAAAAAAGGAATAGTTTTTTGTAAATGAAAAAAAAAAAAAGAAATATAATTTAGGTGATTTTAAGTAATTTTCGTCATCATCTTTTAGAATCTAATTTATTTTTAATCTTCATTGTAATTAAGGTAATGTAACATTACTGCACCAAAAGTGCATATAATCCCACATTGAATTGTTGATAAATGCTTTCTTTGTTAATCTTCCAAAACCAGATAATATTTGTTTTTTTTGATCATGATGACCCAATCAATGTAATTTTTTTTTTTTGTTTGTTTCGATGTTCATATAATCACCGCTTCGTAATTGTGATTAACCTATCAATACATGACGGATGATTTCGAACACATTTGCGGATCATTTTTATTTTTTTAATCAAAAAAAGCAAATATTTAGAATGGTTAAACCAATAATTAGTAAGTAGAAAAAATTCAGAAGTTTCTCTAAAACTTGCAGCAATGAATTATTAAATAACGTAATTAACTTTTTTTTTTTTTGCATTCGTTCCGTTGCTAAAAATAAAAAAAGCAGAATGTGAAAATTTTACAAAGTTTTGCTGCGTTTCGTCCCCTCATAAATCGTCATGTAATTTTGTTGGGTTTTGTGCTTTCAATTCCCTTGTCTTTTTTTAATTGAAACACATTCCTCTAAAAATAAATACCTGTTCATGCGGGAATCATCCGCTTTTTTTTTTTTTTAGTAGCACTATGAAATTCATTTTGGTTTTCTTTAATTCATTTTCATTTTTTTTTTTTTTTAAAAAAAAAGAGGTATCGTAATTTATAACTTTGACATAATTTGATACTATCAAAATCAATATATCCAAAAAACAAAAAATAAATAACGTAACACCAAAGCACCAAAATGGGATTCCTGAGTTTCCGATTTTTTTCATTTTTCTTACAATTCTTTTGGCAAACAAGAACTATCGTTTTAAACAGTTGTTTGATATATGATTATCTTATCTTAACTTTTATGATAGATAAAGACGGCGCGTAATCTCCGGCGAGCTCTTCTTTTTATACGTATTAAATGTTTTCAATTTTTTTTTTTTAACACCAAAAAGATATATATTTTTTTTTTCGGCATCCGCCGATATTATCATATGTACATATGTAGTAAATCACCCTTTCAACTTAAAACTTATAAGAAATTAATTTTAGCAATTGATTGTTCCCGATACTTTTAAGTTACGGCGTTACGGCGCGTAAACTCCGACGACGATTTAACTGGTTTTGTCATAATTACGTAAATTTTTCTGTGTTGTATTAATTTAATTCAATATCAGAAAAATAAACTTTGAAATTTATTTAAAAAAGTATTGGAACAATACAAATGGCGTAACGGAACGCAAGCTCAAGACCTTTATGATTTTTTTATGTGTTAATTAAAAAACAAGTTTCGAAATCAAAACGAATTTCTTAACGCAAAAAAAAAAAAAAAAAAATTGACATCATTCCCCCGAGATTCAAACTTGTGAAATAAATGTATCTGGCAATTGATTTTTTACCAGAGATTAGATAAAGTAAGGGGCCAAGGCACGTAAAACTCCGACTTAAATCTATCTGTTTTTATGTATTAATTTAATTTTAAACATTGTCAACATCGCAAAGAATGCTTAGTTTATTCTTTCAACTTTGGAATTTATTTTAAACAAAATTTGTTTAGTTAAAGTATTAGAACATTTAACAAATGACAAACTCCGTAGACATTGATTGTAATTTTATAACTTTTTTTTTTATGTTATGAATTATAAAAAAAAGTTTCGAAATTTGAAAAGTATCTCTTACGAACGAAAAAGAAATATCAAAATTCCTCCGAGATTAACTTGGAATTTGTTTTTAGCAACTTGATTTAAAGTATGGAGGTAAGGCGTAACGGCAAGTAAACTCCGGCCAAAACTATTTAATCTCAAACTCCATGGGTGAATTTAATTATAAAGGAGTTTCAAAACCGTTTTTAGAGTAAAGTATATTCATAATCGGAAAATTTCTTGAGAATTCAAAATACAAAATTTATTCTTTAAAAAGAGGAAATAAAAAAAAAAAAAAGCCCCCCCGATAAAGTATTGAACAAAGATGGCGGCGTATCGGCGCGTTCACTCCGACATATTATATTTTGAATTATATGCAGTTTTTTTTTACCACAAGAAAAAAGGTTTCATGCAGTCAAATTAAAGTATGCGCGATAAAATCAATATTTAAAACTTATTACGCATTATCGGATTCATTCTTTAACCTTAAAAACCTGTTCCTTGTTTCACCCATACATATACAAGGTTCCTTTTTTTATTAAAGTTTTAATAATTCTATAAAATAAAGTTCTTCCGACGATCATACATTGCTTGTTATGCCTCGCTTCTTTTTTTTGTTATTATTTATCTACCAAATATTTTAAAATATGAGTTAGAGTGTATTATTATTCTCAATAAGAATTGGTCAAGCTTCATTTAAATGTGATATATAGAATGTTTTTAAAATCTGGAAAGAATTTGAAGAATTTAATATTATTTCAAAATCGGATTGTTTAAATGAGCTGTAACATTCGCTAGGAAAGGGAATCAATATGAAATTTGTTTAGCGTAGTTTATAAAAATTTATGTAATCAGTCCTTTTTTTTAAAAAAAAACTTTAATTAAATAAATAAATAAATAAAAATAAAATAAAAAATAAAGTACGATTAGACAATATAAAAATAATAACGAACATAAAATGTATGAAATCGTGAATATTTCACGTAGAACGTTTGGAAGCTTTTTTTGTAATAATATATAATTTATTTACATTACACGTCGTACTGTACACATAAATGCTAATTTTAACGACTGATCTGTGAGGAAGGTTAAAGAATTAATTTATAGCTTATGTTTAGTAAATAATCTGTGAAGAAGGTTAAAGATTTAATTTATAGCTTATGTTTAGTAAAGTTACAGTGAAGTTAAATCATAATTTGGGGCAATAAAAAAAGCCAAGTACCATAAATATATATATATATACAAAAAAAAAAAATTGCTATAAATCTCTTTCCTTATCATAGATGGAACGAATGGTTGTAAATGACAGTATAATATTTTATTGGTTAGAATGACGGATTTTAATTGAAGGTATCATTGAAGAGCGGACGGATTTAAGTGAAAGTAGCCCCATTGAATAGCTGGTCGATTAGTGGATCATTTGTTATCTGTCGAGGAAAGTTCGCAAAATTTACATATGTCGTATTTCTTCTTTGCGTTCCGTGAGCGATTCGTCTTCTCTGTCTTCTTTGATTAACAATTCTCGGAGATGGTGCTCCAAAGTTAAGTATAATATTAAATACTCTGTTAGGATTTGCAGACATATTATTTTATTATTATTGTGAGAGCAAAAAGATTTTTTTTTTTTTTGTATTTTTATTTTTTCAGGAAATCAAAAAAAATCAAAATTAAATCTTTTTTTTTTTCGTTTATATGGCCGCGTATTTATATGAAATGAACATTATAAAAATCAATTTATTTGTGGGGAAATCCCTGTATTAAAACTGTACAGTTCATTAGACTTTTTTTTTGCCTGGTATATTGTCTAATTAGTAGAGGAAAAAATAAATTCCGACAATATACAAACTTTAAAGTAGTGACAATTTTATTATCGAAGTTGAATTAAAAATCAATACTAACCAATTTGGTTTATATGTCAATGAAACTTTATATACTGTACATGACCACAATATAAAAATCAAAAAAAAAAAAGAAAGATAACACGGATTTCATTTCATTCGGTTAGTTTTATCCGGGAGGGATTTCTTTTTAGAAAGTGTTTAAGTGGTTTTTACATTAATTTAACCACAAAATTTATGAAACTCTGATATGAACCCTCCATAAAGATATAGTTTTTTTTTTTTCTTTTCGCAAAATTTATCTAATTTCCGGTTTTTAATCAAAAGTGACAACAAAAAAATACCGTAAGAGATAGCTGAAACACGTTAAATTTTAACTCTTTTTTTTTTTTGTTTTTTCTTTATAATCAGTAGATCAAATTTTGATAAGATTACTTTCTTATCTATTAATCCTATATCGAGTTACCGAGTTTTACAGCTCGGCCGTACTTTTATTGGGTTATGCAAGGATAATTATAAACATTTATAAAATAATTTCATTAATACCAATTAAAAATATATAGTATTAAAACGAATCATTACTAAATTTAGAATTTTTATCATGAAATTATATTTTAAAAAAGAAATTCATCTCGCGTTTTTTTAGATATATATGGTAAAACACTTTACAAAATGATAGACACCGCTTTTCCTGAATAATTTTTAATTTAGTTATCTTAAGGTGTAAATTTTTATTCCTTTATTTATGCATAAATATCAGTTATTTAAAGATCTTTTATTTATAAAAACAAATAATACATTACCTTTATTAAGCCATTTCAAATTCATTATTTATTTTTTTTTTTAAAAAAAAAAAAATTATTTAGCATTAAATATGAAAAAATACAATTATTATTATTATATAAAAAAATAAAACAAATAATTTGCTTTTTCTTTTAAAAAATAAAAAAAAAAATTAAGTATCAATAAAAGATAAATTATTAGCTAATTTTTATAATAAATATTAATAATTTACTAAAATTAATTAATTGAAATATTTATTATACAGTATAAATAGAAATAAATAGAATTAATATTTTATCTAAAAAAAACTAATAATATTAGTTTTTAAAATAAACAAACAAATGCAAATTTTTACTTTTAAAAAAACTATTTTAAAAAATATATTTTTAAATAAAATAATTTTTTTAATTAAAATTCAAAAAAAAAAAATTTAATATTTAGATAAGTTAATTATTAGAACTAAAAATAATGTTATAACTAGTTACTATTAATAAATAATATTATAATTAAGGTTACTAGACAGTTTAAAAATTTTACAAATCATCTAATAGTAAAAAAAAATTTGGTAAAATTATATTAAACCTTATTAAAAATTTACAAAACTCAGAAAAAAGTAAAATTATATT